TTTTTTTTTTTTTTTTTTTTTTTTTTTTTTTTTTTTTTTTTTTTTTTTTTTTTTTTAGTTTCAAAGACATTTAAAGATACTAGGACTACTTTTTAACTAATTTAAACTATTTGGAGCTAAATATAAATTACTTTATGCTAATTAGGTGAATCAATTTGCAATAAAAGAATTCTAAGTTAAGATTGTAGACTCCTCATGAAGAATGAGACTTCAATGAGTATTTTGAAGCTAGTGCAAGGGATCGTAGTGATTTCAGCTTAGGCCAACTAAGTAAGTGATTTTATCGCTCGTTAGTTGAATTGACTTCATTGCTGTATGAGCAATGTCTACTCTGTGGTTCCCTGCACGTGTCCTAATATTTTAATTGCTTGATATATGGGAAATTATGTTTATGCTATGATATGATGTTAGATATGATGGGATACAAATTATGCTATGTTATATAGATGTCATGTAACGATAATTCATGTTATGAAATTATGTTATGTTATTAACATTGTATAATGCATGAACCTCCATATTCTATGTCATGTAAAATATGTAATACATACTACTCATTCCTTATGAGACATTAGAAAGCCATGTATGTTGATTATGGAAGATAAGACAAGTATTATGTATGTGTATCTCATAGGACATTACGTTATGAAAAGAATTGAAGTATGATTTGCATCATAAGTATATGACATAAATTGATACTATGAGACTTTATGCATCTTATATGTCACATGCATTTGATACTTCGTTTCTATAATGAGTACGAACGCATACATTACGATATCTATGTTTTTTCATAATATTATGCGGGCTCCTACTCTCCACGGTTCTGGCAGTGTGAGCATGCACTACTTGAAGTTGCAAGCCTAGGAGTACGGATACTGTAACGACTGCTCTTCGACGCATCGAATCACAAATCGTTACGTGGACTCTAGGGTAAAAGCCTTACAACATTTCCATTTTATAAAACGGGAGACATAAGAAAATTAAAGTTTTCCCAAAATAAACATCAAAATGACATTAAAACGACATGGACAGAGAGGACTCGATCTAAGGGTCTCCACTGCAGCGGCACGGCTCCACACGTTTCCGCCACCGATATTGGTCTACTTAACATCTGAAAAAAAATAGCAATAATATGGGATGAGTATAAAAATACTCTGTAAGCAACCTACTTGTAGGCTCTTATTGAACTTAATCCTATTCACAGAATCTTTGACTGTTTGCTCGAATCTATCTTTGACAAAGTCTACCGTTGTCTCAAAAGAAGACCCTATGGATTCTCATTGATATGGATTTTATTCCATACCTAACTATCTACTAAGCTCAAATCAGTGGATTTCGCCTAGTGGTGCCTGACATCAACTACTTGTTCCTGAGAATTAGTAACTACCTGCCACTACGCCCCATCGGGCTAGGTCAATAAACTACCTGTCTTACACCCCTGTCGGGTTTAGATCAATAAAAGGTCATGGCTCTCCCCATTAGCCACCCCTGACGTAGTACTACAGTAGTATACTCACTATGGCCACCCATATCCACTATAGGTGACAACTAAGAGACGGTAACTCATAATCTATGAAATTCATAATTCACGCTATCTAGCACATAACAAATGGTTCAGTTCACAAATGGGCAATAATGAGCTATCCAAACCCTAAATCAAAGCTGAACAAAGTACCAAGGCTTACATCATACTCATCGTTCAAATCAACAACTAACAATCTACCTCGATAATCTAGGAAACACATAAACTCAAACACCTATTAGAGACTTTCACATTTATGCATGCGGAAGCTCTATAACCCTAACTATAATCAAGGTATAATCATTCATGATATTGAAATACAACACATGAAACTAATGTTAACCAAACTCGTAAGTATAATACTAGATCGTTTGCCCATACTCCAAACCGACTCCTACAAGCATTTCTTAGAAACTTGCTCCATGTGGTTACTTACTAGTTGTAGGCTACCCGAGCTTGTTTCAAGTCTTCAACAAATTTTCAATTCCTTCAGAGATCTTCAAGTAGGTCCTACATTAAGAAAATATATCAAAACTATAGAAGTTGGGTAGAATTCTAGACAAAACAATGCAAATTTATGAGAATTAAGTTTCTGAACCTTGGGTCATGTTTACCTTCAGGTCTAGTTTGGGTAGTGGGTCGGAGTCAGCTAAATGGGTCGGGTCAGGCCGGTGTTGACTTTCGGGTCACTAGGCGTGTAGGGTCGGTTGACGGGTCGGTGCGGTTTTGGCAGGGCAGTTTGGTACAGCGGGTCGATTTGGTTCAACGGTCGGTTAAATCCAACGATCGACTCCTTCCTCCCCGTGACTTTCCTTCACTTCTTCAACTTCTTCAACACCTGTCAACGTTCCTTTTTTCCTCTTCTTCGACCCTTGATCGTTCGACTTTGTTTACCAGCAACGGTAGTTCCTTGCAAGTTAATGATCTCGTCGGTAATTTCTCCCGTGGGGGTTGCTTGGACTCCAACAAAGCACTTGCCGTTTTCCCTCTGGTTTAACATCTTGGTTTAAACCCCCTCCCTCAAGTTTATTGGTCTTTTACCCATAGAAGTTAAAGAAAACTTTTGGGGTACGTGTTAGATCTGTCAACCTGTCTTTTCATATTCCTGTCATTATATTATTATTATTATTTTTTATTTATTTATTTATTTTTTTTTTTTTTGTCATTTCTCTTGACCCAAAATGTTGGTTAGAGCTGGCTTTTTCCTCATTTAATGCCACGGGATACGAGTTATTACAAATACGCTCGCGAGCTGGGTCCGTGTGTGCGTGCGTGAGCCGTGTGTAGAGCAATACTACACATCCAATTTGTACCTCGACGGAAAAGTAGAGTTCAAGCCATAAAATATTTTTTAAAAGATAGGTCTCACAATGGATGGTTGTGTTTGCATTTTTTGACCCAAAGAATGGAGTTACTTAATATTTCTTAAAATGTTTAAGTCACGTGCTACTTTTATTACACCAACTAATTAATACACATTTTTGAACCACATATGTCACAAAACTATAGTAAGCACCAAATTTGATATCAATACTCTAACACTTGGTCTTATCACATACACGTTCAAATTAGGGATTTGAATTTCATATCTATCCTACACGTTCAACATTCAAAAGATCATAGCAAAGAACGCAAAAAGGTGTGTAATTATGGGGAAGAAGTTCATGAGTTTTGGTCTCTTATCGTTTCTTCTCCTCAGCCTTGTATCCAATTCTCACTCTATTGGTAAGCCTTTGATACTCCTAACACCCAAATATGTTGTTTCAATCGCTTAAGTTGTTGGAAATCATTGCATTGCAGATCAATCAAAGACTTGCCCACAACAATTTCTTTCAACAGGAACATGTGGAGGGTGGATTGGAATCTCAGAATGCTACAGTGAATCAATGGCAAGAAATGGAAATATCCCACCAAAGGGCTGCAAATGCATTCCTGATGGTGTGGACTCTCGCATTTGCCGTTGCAATGCTGCCTGTCCCTAAATCTCCAATGCTGCCACCCCAAATATTGTTCTTACATTTCGAGTACTGCTTGTAACACCAGACAGTTTTAAATAAAAAGGGGTTGGATTTATGAAATTTGAACACTTTTTTAGAGTATATGAACGAGGTAACTTAGGTGCAAAATAAAAGTTAAGGTTGGAGAGAACGAGGCAACATGAGTGTTGAAGACAAGCTCGAAAAGGGTCGAGAAAGGTCTTAGACCATAACTTTAGAAGTTGGAGTTTCAATTAAATGCCACTTTTAAGTTAAGTTGTCTATATGAAAGATGAAAGATCACCAAATTTGGTGTAAATTAGACACACAACAGATGCTCCACGAGGCCACATGACCTCTCGCCAAAATCACATTTACTCTGGAAAGATTAGAAATGTCACAAAATATACTCTAGCAGGAAGAATTGTGTTTGCTCTCCACCATATTTGGGTCCTTTTGCTTAAGTGAGCTACCTTTTGACGCATATGTATGTTATAGTGAGAGCTAGTATTGTGAGACAATGTCTCGGGCAATTTTCTTTCAAAGATAATGTTGGATGATGGGGATGACCCAACATTGCATTCCCGCCCATGTGTCGGAGTTTGGTATATGCATCCGCTATCAAGTATGGAGTTTGTAAATGACATGGCTTGGACACAGGAGGGCCAATGCCTCAATAGAACCCTAATAGATGGATGTTCGAGATGTCTAGATGAGATTAACAATACATGAGTTTGTTCTTGATGAACATGTCCAAGTAAGCTTTAATGGTTGATGACATTATGAGACTTGGAATGCATCAAGATATGTGGACGATGTTAATTGGGTACCAAGATGATAAGATGAGATTATACATTGCATATGAGAGACCTTGGCCCCAAGTAGAGCCAAGGTCAAGCCGAATGACTTGGCCTAATGTAGAGACAAATTGGCTAGAATTGCAGACAATTGAACATGCATGCACACGCAACGTGTGTGGCCGAACAAGCTTGGATTCTGAATGAGTTGTGTTTAGTTGACAAAGGCAAACTTTGCTTAAGATTTGAGGAAACCACGAAGTCTGAATGAGTTGTGTATGGTTGAATTCTCCTTTAGGCTTGTCATGAGCATGACAAGATCATGATGACTTACAGTTGAAAAAGTATGATCGTGACACATAGCATTGTCACCCTCAAGCCTCAGTTTGAGCTTGATAAAAGCAAATCGTTTCTAAAACCCATAAAACATAAACTTCCTCCATCCTTGACGAATTTATGTGATTCCGTTCTTAACCCTGCCCAAAAATTCAAATATTCATTGTTAAACTAGAAAATATCAATTTATTTCTTTTAAAAATTATTAAATATATCTATATATATATATATATATATATATATATATATATGTAATACAATATTACGTTTAAATTTCAAGGAAAAGGTTAAGAAATCCCTATATGGTTAAATTATGAAATAATATAAATATTTACTCTATTTCCGAGAAGAAAATGACAAAATTCTTGTAATTTCTGATGTTCCTTTTCATTTAAACGGTAACGCCCTAAATTTCTACTTATTTAGAGTCGTTACCGTCATCTTCGTTTATACTCACGTAAAATTAAATATTTAAAACTTCATCTTAAAACACTGTCATGGACTTACGTGTTCCAAAAACATATTTTAAATTACACAACAAAAAATCTATATAAAATAAATAACATTAAAATTAAAAAGACTCTATTATAATCTAAGTCTAAGAAAATAAGTAGAGCAACGGTATGCATGTGTCATGGTCTCGAATTGTGATATCGTCGTCAGTCGTATAGAGATGCCTTGTCTTTACCTCAAAAAAAAGTAGCACACCGCTGGAGTATTTTAAGAAATACTCAGTAAGTGACCTCACTATTGGAGTCAGAGAATGCAAATACATGCAACTCATGATCTAGAGACCTATCATTTAAAAACTATCATAGGGGTGGTTTCCAATCCGGACAAAATTGGATGTGTAGTACTTCTCTACATACGATCCACATGTGCGAGTGTGGAACCCAAGGCAGTTCTCACCCCCTAGATCCATGATAGTCGAGCTAGCTGTCCATAGCGACATCTGGAGGTCAGTAGACCTCGAGTGTCATGCGAGACATGATCATCATCATCATAATGTATGCGTTCGTACTCATTATCATAAATGGGAAAGTATCCCAATGTATATGAACACACAAAATGCATGAGGTCTCTATAGTTTTTAATCTTTAAATCATCTTTATGACACAACCGCACACAAAATAATGCA